AAAGACATTTAATGTCATTATTTTGTGACATACCCCAGGTATTTCATTTCAAAAGCCTTTAAAATTATAATAGCTGAATCGAAAACTACTTAACAATAAGCCTCTGTGAAGAAACTTGGTAAACCTGTAAGTCTTTGCACATTATATCTTTTGCTTCCTAAACATTATAATAAAATTAATTTTGCTAGCTTTATTGCTATCAATGTAGTCATATTCCAGGGAAAATAAATGTTTTTTAAAAATATATATTGTTCAAGAGCGTCAACATAGTATGGTAGTTAACAGCCTGCATTCTGGAGCTGGATTGCCTCAGTTTGAAATCAAGTTGGGCAACTTACTGTTGAGTAATCTTGGGAAATTATCCTTGTGCCTCATTTTCCTTTTAAGTAAAATGGTGATGGAAATAATTATTTGCCTGGTGGTTATAAAGATTAAATGAGTTAATAAAGATGAAGTGCTAAAGCTATGTCTGAGACATGCATTCAAAAATAGTCATCATTTATAGTAGTACTAGTAGTAGTAGTAGTATTCATTGTGGTATTTTTATTGGAGTAGTTGAGGAAATTTAATAAGAAAACAGTGTAGAAAAATTTATCAAAACTTTTGAATTATGAAGAAAGAGAACTCCAAGAATATAGTTTAAACATGTTAACATGATTTCCTAATTCTAGCTTATATTCTTATTTCAAAAAGCACAAATGTGCTCTAGTAGCAAAAGCCCTGGAGTTAGAATCAAATCTTGAATTTAGAATATGTATGTTGATATGTAATTCTGTTAGATGTACTAATTATGAATGGCTCCAATTGCTAAGTGTGGGACCTTCGAGAATTCACTTTATTTTTTATTCCTTAGCCTAAGTTTCATCTGCTTTAAAATGGGAGTAAAATTATTTTAACTTCAGTTGGTTTTATTAGAAATAAATGAAATGTGAAACTGTCTTTGGTAAGCTAGAAAGACTATATCAATGTCATCTACCTTTATGTACCACATAGCACTGAGAAATTTAAATAGACGCCAGTACCTGAAATGTATTTGCACAACAGTGATAGTTTATTTATTCCATTTCTTTTCACAAGGATTTTTCCTGAAAAGGATAGCCAATTTTATCCTTTTATATTTTGATTATACTTTTTCAGTTACTTACACAGTGCTTGATAGTATCATGAATTTCTTGGCTCTCATCTTTTTTTTAATAAAATTA